GCTCATTTTGAAGCTCTCAATCTCTGAAATTCGAATTGTGTAGTTTCATCTGTTTCCCGGGATTACTGTAGCTTCTACAGGTCTCGAAAAATGCCGAAAATTTTGGGGTTACTGTAGTTTTCGCTGCGGGACCTTTTAGACCTAGTATCAGCCATTTTCAGCTAAAAAAAACCATACCTAGACGGTGGTTCACAAGTGATTTCCGCCTGAAACGATGCCAAATTCTCCGGCGACGTCATCGATGCCGTCACATCTAGTGCTTGCTTAATCTTCAAATTGGTCTCTCCATCCAAGTTCGACGTCTCAATGTATGCCATTCCTTGTTGTTCAGAGGAAGATAGCAACAGCAGGTCAGCCGGGAATAGACTATCATTGTCCACACGGATGAAGTCGCCAACTTTTACCTGAAATACGAAAAATTTTGAATTTTCTGAAAAATTCCAAAAAAATCGGTGAAAAATGAGCAATTTTGAGCGTTTCTAAAAATTAGGCTCCGCCCACTTATAGTTATTGGGTCTCAGAGCGACTTCTAGCGTTTAAAAACGCTTCCATTGAATTTCTCGTACTCGATTTACTCTAAAAATCAATTTTCAGCTTGAACGGACAATTTTTCAAAAATAGGCTCCGCCCACTTTTTTGGCAATTCTGCGGCGCGCTTTTTGAATTTTTCGAAACATTTTGTTTTTGAAAAATCTTTGTATTTTGCCTTTGATCGACATGGATCGGAGAGAAAAAAAATTTTTTTCAGATTTTTTTGAAAAAATTAAAAAAGCGCGCCGCAAAATTGCAAAAAGTGGGCGGAGCCTAATTTCTCAAAGTGGTCCAATCGCGCTGAAAATTGGTGGGTATACCATATCGATAGTGCTGATTTCAAAAATTGCATTTTCAAGTGGCCTGGAAAACCGGAAAGTTGGGTTTCTAGGCAACCAAAATTAGGGATGTCTGTCTGTGTGTCTGGATGTCCATTTTTTGAGTATTTCAGGTCATTTTAGGCCCCGATTTTCCACCTATTTTCAGCGATTTCTTACATCTTTCCACTGTTTTTCGAGCCAATTCCCATCGACTAGTATCTCCACGGGAAACGCGTTAACTTTATTATCACTTCTCCGCCGTTTCACGTCTTCAAAGATTTCTTTCAGCGCTGATACTGATAAGATGATAAGGAATGGGACGGCGGTCGTGTAGCGTCCAGTAGGGGAGACGTCGGGGATTTGCTGAAAATTTGGGGGTGTTTTGAAGGATATGAGCAATCTATGGACGTCATTTTTAAGCCAATTTAGGCTGATTTTAGGCACATTTAGGCACATTTTCAAGCTATTTTAGAGTGTTTTTAGGCTGATTTAGGCTATTTAGTCTATTTGGGCCCATTTATAGACCATTTAGGCCGATTTTAGGTCATTTTTAAGTCAATAGGTCATTTCAGGCTAATCTAGATCATTTTTAGGCTATTTTAGGCTGATTTTCAGGCAAATCTAGGCCATTCTTAGGCTATTTTAGGCTGATTTTCAGGCAAATCTAGGTCGTTTTTAGGCTATTTCAGGCTGATTTTCAGGCAAATCTAGGCCATTTTTAGGCTATTTCAGGCTGGTTTTCAGGCAAATCTAGGCCATTTTCAGGCTTTTTAGGCTGATTTTCAGGCAAATCTAGGCCATTTTCAGGCTTTTTTAGGCTGATTTTCAGGCAAATCTAGGTCATTCTTAGGCTATTTCTGGCTGATTTTCAGGCAAATCTAGGTCATTTTTAGGCTATTTTAGGCTGATTTTCAGGCAAATCTAGGTCATTTTTAGGCTTTTTTAGGCTGATTTTCAGGCAAATCTAGGTCATTTTTAGGCTATTTTAGGCTGATTTTCAGGCAAATCTAGGCCATTTTCAAGCCAATTCAGGCTGATTTTCAGGCTAATCCAGGCCATTTTTAGGCTGATTTCAGACATTATATGTGAATTTAGGCAGGTTTTCAGGCTGTTGAGGCCATTTCAGGCTATTTTAGGCTTTTTAGGGCTGTTTCCTTTTCATTTTTAAGCTATTTTCAGCCAATTTAGGTTCATTTTAAAGGTTTCCAGACCATTTTTAGGTCATTTTCAATAATTTTTCCCTTCAAAAATAGCCAAAAAGGCTCACCTGTAGCAGTGCGATGGCCAGGAAGAAGATATTATTGTAGCGTCGGAATTGCTCATAAAGAAATCGCGGTAGAAATGAGAAGCCATTGTATTTGCAGGTGCTGAAAATATTGATTTTTGGGGTTTTTTGGCTGAAAATTTGGCTGAAAATGATCCAAAAACCTCAGAAATCGATATTTTCATGATTTTTAGACGTTTTTTTAGTTTTTTTTCCAGGAAAAAAATTGTCCCATTGCTCACCTTATCCGATTACTACAGTATCTCTGTACATGATGATGACGTGGATCTGTGATTTCAGTACTATTACCCAAATGAATGTGTCGATTGTTGGTGTTGTTGGGCGCCGCAGCCTCTGTGGGCATTTCAATTTTTGGCTTTTTTTTGTTTCTGGAAAATGGATTGCTCAGCTTAGAATTTTTTGAAAAATTTTGAATTTTTGAAAATATAAAAAATTTGAAAAATTTGATTTTTTTCTGGAAAATTTCAGGTTTTTTGAAAAATTGAAAAATTTCTCTTCTATTTTTCCCTCTAAAAACCCACCCAAAAGTTCAAAAACTGGCAATTTTCCCCTTGATTTTTCTTTCTTTTCTCTGTTTATTGATTCTCGATCATTGAGGTGAGGTGCCTAAAAGAACATTTTGTTTAAAAAAATAAATGATTTTTTGGAGTAAAAAGACCTAATAAATTGAAGAAAAATCGGCTGAAAATTAGCTTAGAAATTGCTGAAATTTTGAAAAAAAAATTTTTTTTTTCTAAATTTCTAATAAATCTAAAATTTCAGATATTTTACAATGTAAATTGCAAAACTACAATGAAAAATTGAGCGGGAATTCAAATGTTTTTTGAAAATTTTTCAAAAGTTTAATTTTAGGAAAGTTCCAGCGATTTTTCCAGCTGAAACCTCTATTTCCTGTCTTTTTTTCAGTATTTTCCATCATTTTCACTCGAAAAAGTACGAAAAATGGACCCGGAAATGATGTAAACCGTCTCCTTATACAAATAATGTTCACTGGAGAGGCGAGAGAGTACGCCAAACGAAGAGACGCAGACATTTTCATTATTCGCGAAACTCGTTATGATTCATCGATTTTTGTGTCGTTTTTCAAGGGTTTTTATTTTTATTTTTTGTCTATTTTCTAGCGAAAAAACGAACGAAAACATAAAAAAGAGAAAAAATGAGCCCGTTGGGCTCAATTTTCCAGTAGAAAGAGTCAGAAAAGTGGGAGAGAGAGTGTTGGAAATGAAGAGAGTGGGTAGAGAAAACAGGGAAGAAAGAAGAAGAAGAAGGGGTGCATCTGGGGTATGAATAGATAGGAGGAAGAAGAAAAAAGAAGAAGAAGAAGAGGATGATAGATTGGAGATTTTGGAAAAAAAAAACTTTTTTTTGAAAATTTGAATTTTTTGAAAAATTTCAAAAATTGGAAATTTTCGATTTTTTTGATTTTCAGAATAATTTCCAAAAAATAGCAAAGTTCCAAAATTTCAGAAAAAAAACTGGAAAAGTTTTGAAAAATTTTAAAAAAATTACATTTTCAAAAAAAAAATCTAAGAATTTTAAAAATCGGAATTTTTTGAATTTCAGAAACATTCTGGAAAAAGTGAGAAAATATTGAAAAAGTCTGAAATTTTAAGAAGCTCAAAAATAATTATTTTTTTTTCGAAAAATTTGAATTTTTTCAAAAATTCCAAAAACTTGAAAATTTTCGATTTTTCTTATTTTCTGAATTTCCGAATAATTTGCTAAAAAAATAAGGGAAATTTTTAGAATGAAAATTGAATATTTTGGAAAAAAATTCTGAAAATTTGAAAAAAAAATTTTCGAAAAATTTGATTTTGCTCAAAATTTCAAAAAAACATTTTTCAACAATTCCGAAAAATCGAAATTTTCGATTTTTCTGATTTTTTCAAAATTTAAAGACAATTTTCAGAACAAAAATTTGAATTTTTTGAAAAAAAAAATCCTGAAATTTTCGAAAAATCAACAATTCCAGAATCTTCTTTTTCCAATTTCAGCCAAAACTATAAGTCACAAAACTATACAAAACTGTGTGTTTAGACTACAAAAATGATAAAATAGTGCTCTTAAATGTGGTTTACAATGGTGCCATATTTATTGATAAGTGATAAGATGATAAAGAATGGGATGGGAAATCCGGCCAAACGAAATACAGACAGAAAATTCAAATTAAAAAAAAAAAGTTTCGTAACACCGATTTCTCAAAAAATCGAATCTCCCAACAGGTATACTGGTTAGGCGAGTGATCGGTGAGGGAGACTCTCTGCGTCTCTCGCTTTTCCACACTCTCTCGTTTCTTTTCTGTATATATTTACACAGCGTCAATATAGTCTGTGTTGAAAAGTGACACAAAGGAAGCAAAAATTATGTTTTTTTATGGAAAAATTGAGAGAAAATGGCTTGAAAATTAAAAATATTTATTTGACACCAATAATCAACTGATTTTCATCGTATAATACACATAGGAAGGTAAAAAACCAGTTTTATCGATAAAAGGGAGAATTCTGCACTCGAGGCGACCACGAAACGACCAAAAACGACCTTCAGAAGCGAAATTAATTGACTGGAAAAGCGAAAAAACAATTTAATTCAAAAAACCAAATTCAAATTCCCTCGCAAAACTCTCGCCACGAAAGAGCAAAATTTCGCATTTCGGGCCCTGCGCCTTTAAGCCTACAGTAGGCGGAATTGGAGGGAAATTTGAATTTGAGCGCGAAAAAAGGAATTTTCAGCGAAAAAAGACGAAAAATCGCCATTCTTTTCAGATTTTCACCGAATTTTCGCCATTTTCTAGCAAATCGCACCTTCCAAATTCAATTTTTCTAGCGAAAATGGCTCCAACGAAGACGATAGGCGAGCAAATGGCCGCTCTAAACACCTCCGACGACACCTCGTTCGCCGATCGATCGAATAGTCTTCTGAATGCGACGTGTCCGGCGCGGATTCAAAATAATTCAAGTGCCAACTTGTCGTTCGCCGCTCCGTCTGCCGCGGACACATCGATGACGTCATCAGTCGGGAAATGGCGTCCGAAGCGGGAACCATTGAAAATTACACCTCTGGAGCAGATTGACGAGAATACGCCGGCGAGAAAATATGTTCCAGCGGCGTCTTCTATAGATAAAGTACAGAAAATGTAGTCTAAAATGGCCGAAAATTGAATTTTTCCAAAAAAATTTTTTTTTGAATTTTTTCAGAATTTCAGCTACTTCAAGATAATTTTCATGCATTCATAATGTTTTAAACCTTAGTTTACAACAAAAAATTTTAAAACAAAAAAAAAATTTTTGAAATTTTTTCAAAATTTTCAAAAAATTCAAATTCCCGCCAAATCTTCCACCCATTAAAAAATTTTGTTCCAGCGCCCCAGCGACTACAAAACGCGCCTTTGTGATTCGTATCGTCGATCGGGATGGTGTCCGTACAACACTAATTGCACATATGCACATGGAGACAAGGAATTACAGATTCCGGTTGGTGAAAATAGCGAAAAATAGGAAAAATCAGCTGAAACTGTTTCCATTGAATTTCCCGTACTTTATTTACTCTAAAAATCAATTTTCAGCTCGAACGGACAATTTTTCAAAAATAGGCTCCGCCCACTTTTTTTGCAGTTCTGCGGCGCGCTTTTTGAATTTTTCGAAAAATTTGTTTGGTTTTTGAAAAGTCTTTGTATTTTTCCTTTGATTGGCATAAATTGGAAAAAAGTTTTTTTCAAAAAAAAAAATTCAAAAAGCGCGCCGCAAAATTGCCAAAAAAAGTGGGCGGAGCCTAATTTTTCAAATTGCTCCTATCGAGCTAAAAATTTGGGTGTATACTAAATCGACCCTGGCAATTTCAAATATCACATTTTCGAGTGGCCTAGAAAACCGGAAAGTCGGGTTTCCAGGCCATCAATGTTGAAGAAGCGCGCTCCAGATGTCCATTTTAGGCTATTTTCAGCCATTTTCAGCCCAATTTTCTTGCAGAAACGACGTCTTCCATTAGAATACACGACGTCGTCATTGTCAACGTCTTCTAAACATCGTGATTCTCGAGACTCTCGAGACAACTACCGTAGACACAGTCGTGAACGTCGGAACAGTTCGAAACGAGGAGGCGATGAATTTGAAATTTCGTTCAGAGGAGGAGGAGGAGGAGCATCATCTGGATCAACGTCTACTTCTAGATATCGATCGAATGATGATGTACTAGATTTTTGGGGTTTTTAGTGAAAAAAAAATAGCCAGCTTTTGGGCGAAAAAAACGCTCAAAATTGACTGAAAATGGCCGAAAATCGGTCAAAAATGGAATTTTTTGCAATTTTTGAGCCACAAATGGTCGAAATTTGACTTTAAAAATCGGTCGAAAAGTGCATTTTTGCGAATTTTAAAGCCAAAAACGCTCAAAATTGACCGAAAATGACCGAAAATGACCGAAAAGCTGATTTTTTTTGTCCCAAAAAAAGACGATTTTCAAGCCAAAAACGATCAAAATTGGCTGTGAAAATGGCAAAAATCACTCGAAAATAGCATATGGAATTTCGTTATTGTGGCGATTTTGTTTTGGAAAAACACGATTTTTGGGCTGAAAAACGCTCAAAAATGACCGAAAATAACCTAAAATTGGGCAAAAATGACCGAAAATTGTGTTTTTTTAGCCAAAAATCGGTCAAAAATGCCCGAAAAACCATGAAATTTCGAAAAAAGAAGTGATTTTTAAGCTTAAAATGGTCAAAATTGACTGCGAAAATGCCTAAAATCGGTAAAAAATACCATGAATTTTACTAAAACAGCGGTATTTTTAGAAATTTTTTGAAAGAAAAAATTGATTTTAAGCCCAGAAAATCGTCGAAAACGGTCAACAATACATAAAATTCATTAAAAATGTCGGTTTTTGCGAATTTTTAATTTTAAAAAATTCGGATTTGCAGACTAAAAACGGTCAAAATTGACTGAAAAATGCCTAAAATCGCTCAAAATTGACTATTAAAATGATTTATAGACTGAAAATGGTCGGAGTTGACTGAAAAAAATGGCGAAAATCTGTCAAAATTGACTAGAAAACTCTGAAATTTACTCGAAATTTCAGTTTTTTCGATATTTTTTAAAATGAAAATTGCGATTTTAAGGCCAAAAACGCCAAAATTGACCGAAAATGACCGAAAATTGGCTAAAAATCGGTATTTTTCGGTATTTCTCAAATGAAAAATGTGTTTTTTAGCCAAAAATTGTCGAAAAATGACTGAAAGAAGGCTGAAAATCGATGTAAAATGACGAAAATTTGGAATTTTTTGCGATTTTTGAGCCAAAAATCATTTGGATTGGCTGAAGATGACACTTTTTTGCAACTTTTAATTCAAAAAATACGGATTTTCGAGCAAAAAACGGTCAAAAATCGGTGAAAAATGTCCCGAAAATTGTCGAAATTTGATGGGGTTTTCACTCAAAAATCACAGAAAACACCGAAATTTTCGAATTTTACGGCTTAAAATTGTCAAAATCGCTCTAAATTTGAGCCGAAAATTACAAAAAATCAGTTTTTCGCCTCAATTGGCTAAAAATTCCCCATTCTCTGGCTTGAAAATCGACATTGTTGACACTAGAATATCGATTTTTCAGCTATTTTCAGCCTAAAATGACCACTGTTGACTCTAAGATATCGATTTTCTAGCTGTTTTCAGCCTAAAAACCCCCAATTTTGCAGTCCTCCCGCTATGGAAACGATCGTTGCTGTTCGTCGTCGTCGAACAATCACTACAATTCGAATAACTCTCATCATCATCATCATAGTCATCGACCGATTTGTCACGCGTTTCAGCGAGGAAATTGCAGATATGGACCGAGGTAAAAAGGGGGCGGAGCTTAAAATTGGAGATTTTAAGACAAAAATTGGTCAAAAATGGCCGAACACGCGACGCACACGACCGCGACGCTCCTGAAAGTGGGCCGAGCCTAGGCATGCTTGAGCTCCAATTCGAATTTGTCACAACTAGAGCTTCAAAATGCGCCCAAACACACGCCTAGACTCCGTCCACTTTGAAATTGCCGCACGCGACGCACGACCGCGACGCGGCTGAAAAACTCAAAGTGGGCGGAGCCTAGGCGTGTGTGCGGGCTCATTTTGAAGCTCTAGCTATGTGACGAATTCGGTGAAAATGGAACCGATATTCACCGGAATTCATCTGAATTCTGATTTTTGAAAAATTCAAAAAAAATTTTTTAATTTTTTTTGCGATTTTTTCAACTTTAAAAATTAAAAAATTTCGGGATTTTTGGCTCAAAACAAATCGAAAAATCGAGTTTTTTGAGATTTTCAGCTTTAAAATCGTAAAAAAGCCGAAAAGAAAAGAAAGGCTCCTAGACTCCGCACACTTAGAATATTCTGTGTTGCACGCGACGCACGACCGCGACGCGGCCGAAAGGCTCAAAGTGGGCGGAACCTAGGCGTGTTTGGGCTCATTTTGAAGCCCTAAACACGAAAAATTCAGATTTTTTGAAATTTTTCCAGATGCCGCTACCTGCACCAAGAGCAACTTCCCCAATTCAATGGGAACGCCACAATGTACGCCTGCCCACCATCGGATTCCATCTACTATCACGCCCATCATCAGAACACTCATACCTATCTAATGCCATATTTCATTCCCCAACAAGGAGCCCCACCCCCTCAGCAATACGTGGATTTGAATCAATCCATGCAAACTATTCAATATCTTCCCCCACAAGCGCCGCCCACATACTTCGTCCCGCCTCCTCAACAAGTTGCCCTGGATCAATCGATTGTCTACGCCCCGCCCACTGATCAAGTCTATTCCCAACCACCACCACCACCTCAACCACTTATGTCTTGAGAATCTATATTGTACTATTTTCGATTACTAACCCCTACCCAATTGGCTCCGCCCCCTTTTTCTTATTCTTGTCAAATGAACAAAAATGGCGATTGTGAGGGTTTGAAAAATCAGATTTTTGGTATTTTCAGGGTATTTTGGGTGATTTTAGGCTAGTTTTAAACAATTTCAGCCTTTTTTGAACGATTTTCAAAGGATTTTCAGCATTTGGGGTCGCTTTTAGGATATTTTTAGATAACTTAAGACAGCCTTTTCCGGATAAGTTTTTTTGGGGGGGGGGGGGGGGGGGTAATTTGGTTATTTTTAGACAATTTTAGGCTTTTTCCGCTTATTTCGGACGAATTTTGGTGAATTTTCGACAATTTTTCAACATTTTAAGGTTTTTTTTGACGAATTCTAGCGATTTCTGCCGATTTTTTTATGATTTTATGACCTAATTCTTCTCCCAATTTCAAGAAAAATCCTAATTCTTACGAAAATCTGGCTTAATTACAATAATTTACTGTTTTGGATAACTCGATTCAGGGGGATTTTCAGGGGGACAATATTTCGAAACATGAGAAAATATAGGGAAATTCAGGAGAACACAGAAGAAACGAGCGGGGGGATACAGAGGAAGAGATCATCATTGGAGAGAGCCCATTTCAAGCCTCCTGAGCAGCGGCATGGATCAGAGTGATGTTGTCTCCTTTGAGCAGGATCCGACCGATCTTGTTGCGTCCCTTCGTCTTCATGTTGACCTCTTCGGCCTCGTCGAACACCACATTCATGAATTCGTCGAATCCGATGATGTATCCCTCGAGACGGTGGGTCACGTCTTCGTAGAGCCAGATTTGGACGCGCGTGCGGTTTTGGAGATATCTGAAAATTGAAATTTGAGCGTAAATGGAGTTTAAAAAGGGATTTTTTGGCTTGTAGGGCTCGTTTTTCCACTATATATCGACAAAAATCGGAATTTTGGACCCTACAACACCTTCATAGCTCTAAAGTCGACCTGTAACATGTTTCAGATGCTTAGAGAAGCCGAAAAGTCGAATTTTTCAAGAAAAATGGTCCTGAGAACTCGCTGGAGCCAGAAAACCGCTAGAAAAGCCAGGTCTCGACTCTCACCTGAAGATGAGGTTCACTGGCTGAACCATGACCTTCTGAATCTTTCTCTGCGACATTTTTCGACGCTGGTGTTTGTTGTCTGAAAATGAGAAAATATTGAAATAGGCGAAAAATCAAGAAAATTGAGTTGAAAAGAGGAGAAAATCAGTCAAAAATCGGAAAAAATCGAAATTTTGTTTTTTCACGCAAAAATACATTTTCCATCTCAAAATTTCACATTTTATAGGTCAAAACACTCGTAAAACCTGATTTTCGACTTGTTTTTCGGTTTGTTCGCAAACCATAACCTAGAAAATCATGAAAACCCGCAAAAATTCGGAATTTCATTTTTCAGCCGGAAAATATAACTTTCACCATGAATTATCACATTTTTCGGGTAAAAAAACTCGTTAAACTCAATTTTTGACTTGGTTTTTGGGTTTTTTCGCAAAAATTACCCCAAAAAGCATGAAAAACGGCGAAAAAGGAGGAAAAATGCCGTTTGGTGATCCCAAGAATTTCGAAAATTCAAAAGAGTGCAGTACACTGCGACGCGCAATTGCGTACGCTTGCGCACCGTAGTTGGGCAGATAAATCGAAATTGACTGGAATTGAACGAAAAACAGCTGAAATTCAATGGAAAATGCCAGAATTTGATTATAAAATCGAAAATTAGACATAGAAAAAAATGTTATCAAAATTTATTTAAAAATAACAACATTTCCATAGGAAAATCCAAAAAATTGAAAATTCAATCATCATCAGACAAAGAATCGATTGGAGGAAGTTGTAAATCCGACAAACTTGGCGGCTCATCCTCTTCGTCTCGACTCCGCCCATATTTTGGGTAGTAGACGTATTTTGGTGTTAGTTTCTGGAAGAAGAACGGCTGAAAATCGATTTTTTGGTTTTCTAGGCCATAACTGGTTTTCTAGGCCACCAAAGTGGACGCAACTGTCAGAACCTAGTCGTGTTTATGCTCGTTTTGAAGCTCTAAACGCGCTGAGTGCAAATATGTCAGTATTTTTAAACATAGACAAAAACTGATAGAGTTACGGTAGTTTGAATATATTAACAAAATTAAAGCCTTTATGCAAACGCGTCGTACCTCCTCAAGTTTTGCTTCAAAATTTATAAAATGTGTACTAATCAGTTTGCCTAATGAAGCCCTTCAAAATGAGTATGAACACGACCTACTTCCCATGAATTCCGTTTTTCGGACCCCCTATGCGCCTTTAAACTCGAAATTTCAAATTTAAAGGAACATAGGCTTGTGGGTACTCATTTTGAAGCTCTATATGTACAAAATTCAAAAATCTACAATTCCAAGCGGTAGGGTAGCTGTGAAGCAAGTTACGGTAGGTTTAGTTTTCAGGGTTACTGTGGTTATAGGAGCTGTTAAAACATGGGCATAAGTATAGTCATTTTGAAGCTTGCGACTTGGAAAATTTGAATTTTACAGCTATGTCTGTCTTCAAAACCATTGTCATCAGCATGGCCGAGGTTTTGGGTTTCTAGGCCACCTGATGTTTAAACCATCATATTTCTCTTTAAAATGGGTCAAATCAAAAAATACAAAATGACCTAACTTTTTCAAATCCTAGGCCACCACCTACCTCATCCACCGACAACATACTCCTATGAGTCAATGCTGAAAACGTGGCAACTTCTTGATAAGTGGGCGTCCTTGGCGTCAATTGCTCATCCTTAAGTGGTTTCGATCCAATGATAATTGGACATTCCGCCTTTACCGTATTCCTCAGACGACATTTTACATGTAGTTTGACGACTACAAAGTATTCCACGTGGATGAGAGTACTGTCAAATGTGGGACATGTACATGGAATTTTAAGCTTCATTTTGGATTTGTGCTCTGTTCTTGGCTCAATGTGCATTTCATGAATCACGGACACTATTTTAATTTCATCCCGCTTTCTTGACAAATATCTGTCATTTTCGGACAAGGAAGACGCTCTCCGACCATCTGTTGGTCCCGCGATACCGTATCGGTAGGCAAGGAAGCGGCATTGTTGGATCAGATAGCATTCGGCCTGGAAATTTGAATTTGCGAGGTTTAGAGCTTCAAAATGAGTATGAACACGGCTAGATGCACTTCAGCCTAAGGCAAACTACAAAAGCTACAGTACCCGCAACATTTAATCTACCGTAACTTGCTTCACGGTCATCCTACATATCGGAAATTTTGGTTTTCGAATTTTCGACGTTTAGAGCTTCAAAATGAGTATCCACAAGCCTACTTTCCTTTAAATTGGAATTTTGGCCTTTAAAGGCGCATAGGGATCCGAAACATTTAATTCGGGAAAAGTGGGTCATGATTATACTCATTTTGAAGCTTAAATCAAAATTCATAATTCTATGCAAAAATGTATGAATTCGAACGAAAAATGAGCAAGGTATGACATTTTTAGTTTTTCAAGCTAGCTTTGAAACTTCAAACTACCGTATCTTGATTCGTTTTGCTCCAAATCTCAAAAATCAAAAAGATTCTATATCTTTGTTTCCGGAGCTTCAAAATGAGTATAAACAAGACTTTGTTACTTTAAATTGGAAATTTGACATTTAAAGGCACACAGGGGTCCAAATTTTGAAAATCAAGGAAGTAGGTCATGTTTATACTCAGTTTAAAGCCTATGACGCGCCAGATTTGAATATATAGTTTTCATCAATTTTCCTTGACTTTTCAGCAAGTTACAGTCAAAATTCTAATTTGTAGTCCAAGTGTTACTGTAGGCTAGCCTATTTTCCGTGAAAGTCGAGCAAACCTAGTCATGTTTATACTCATTTTAAAGCTTTTAATGTGCCAAAATGGAGAATTGAAGCTTCAATTAAGTCTGAGCAATGCTGGAGACACTTACCTTCAAAATCGGTCTAGATGATGCATTATCAATGTTGGTCTCTATCCAAATCGTCTCTCCGGGCACATATCCTTTTTTGGGGATTCGAAGCTGAAATTGGGAAATTTAAGCAGCGAAAATTGTTAAAAAGCTTGAAAATTCCAAAAAAAATCCAAAAAATTAAGAACTTTCTACATTTTTGGACCATTTATTATAACTTCTGAAAACTTGAAAAATTTCAGATGTTCAAAAATTTTCAGCACCTCCAAATGCACTTTTCCGTATCGAAAAAGGAAGAATCCGACATTTTTCGTCTTCCAACTGCTCGTTTCCTCTCCAGCCGTCACTTCTTTATTCAAATCTTTCGGCGGAAGAATCGTGAGATATCTCGTTATCGATCGATTCGTTTTCCATGGTCTCTCTACAGTAGCCTTCAAATGGTACCGTATGTTTCCATGGTCGCCCTCGAAACTCGGCGGAACGCCGATGGGGATTTGAAATTTGAACGGGTATACATGGATTCCAGGAAAAACCGAAGATTTTGAGTGTCCCTCTGATGGTTTCCACACCATTTGATCCTCATCCAAATATGTCACTTTGGCGGAGTACGATACTTCTCGGGACCGCCCATGAGAGGACTTTGAGGACTCCGAGAGAAGCCATTTGGTGGTGGCGAGGCCTTCAGCAGAGATACGGATGGCTTTAACCTGAAAGTGATTTTAAAAACGGCTTCGGCAGGAAAAGTGCTTCAAAATGAGTATGTCAACACTACAGTAATCCCCTTCTTCACCCCACCCCGCGAATCTTAAAACTCTTGTAGCTTTCTTAGTTCTAGTGGCAAATCAGTTTTCTTTATAGATTCGAACTTGCCGCGTTTAGAGCGTCAAAATCTGGACCCCCTATGCGCCTTTAAATGTCAAATTTCGAATTTGAAGGAACATAGTCATGATTATACTCATTTTGAAGCCCAAAACATCAAAAATTCAAATCTTTTTGATTTTTATAATTTGGAGCAAAACATGTCAAGTTACGGTAGTTTGAAGTTTTTAAGCTAGCTTTAAAAACCGAAAACGTCGTAACACGATTAGTTTGGCGCGAAATCAGTTTTGATTAGAGATTTGAATTTTCCAAGTTACGAGCTTCAAAATGAGTATAAAAACGTCCCACTTTCGTCGAATTCCAAAACTCCGGACCCCTATGCGCCTTTAAATTTCAATTTTTTGTCAAATTTCGAAATTGAAGGAACATAAGCATGAGAGTACTCGTTTTAAAGCTCGAATTGCGCAAATTGCAAAACTACTAAAATTATTGAGTTCAGACAAAAATTGACATTGTTACGGTAGTTTGAAGTTTGCAAGCTAACTTCAAAAACTGAAAACGCCATAAATTGCTTGGTTTTGGTGGAAATCTGATTTCAGTTATTGGTTTGCGCTCAACACGTTATATGCTTCAAAATGAATATAAACATGACCTACTTTTTTCAACTATGAAATTTCGGACCTCTATGCGCCTTTAAATGCCAATTTTCGAATATAAAGGAACATAAGCGTGTGGGTACTCATTTTGAAGCTCCAAACTCAAAAAACTCAAATCTTTTTGATTTTGGTCATTTGGTTCAAAATGAATTGAGTTACGGTAGTTTGAAATTTTAAAGCTAGCTTCAAAAACTAAACACGTCATAACTCGGTTAGTTTTAGTGCAAAATCAATTTCGAAAATAGATTTGAGTTTAACATGTTTAGATTTTCACAGTAAACATAAACGTGACCTACTTTTTCACATTTCAAATTTTGGACCCCATATGCGCCTTTAAATGACAATTTTGGAATTCAAGAAAAAATAGACGTGTGGGTGCTTATTTTAAAGCTCAAAATATGACAATTTCAAAAATTTGTATTTCACTCGAATATTGTGAGCCTGGACAAAGTTACGGATCATTCAAATTTGGGACTTTTTTTCAGATTCAAAGGAACATAGGGGTGTTTATACTCATTTTGAAGCTCTCAACCTCCAAATTTCAAATTTTCAACGTATTTTTGGGTTTACCTTGATACTCTCCCTCAAATCAAACGTAACATATCCTTCAATGGTTCCGCCGGGCTCAAAAATTTGCTCACAATTCGACAAACCTACTGCCAAATGGAAGGGCATTTTTGGAGTTTTTAGTAGACCGGAATAAACGTAATAAAATGTGCGAAGAGGAGGAAAATTGAGAATGAATTCAACCGAAAAATCTAATGGAAAAAGTGGGCGGAGCTTAAATTTGAGGGGCCCCAGATGCGAAAAGGTCATTTTTATTGGCAAATAGATTTAAAGAGAGGGGGCAAAAAAGTGAGAAAAGATATGACAAATTCAGTAAAAAAAGATAGAAAAAAGGCACGAAAAATGTAATTTTTCGGAATTTTTCAGAAATTTCAAGATTTATCCTGAGAATTGGTTCGAACTTGAGTCAGACTTAGAAGACGATTTTCTCTGGCGATTCGAGTGTTTTCAGCTGTCAATGTGTCCACGGTGCTCTGAAAAATAGAAAGTTCAAGAACATTCGAGTTTGGGAAGTTTAGAGCTTCAAAATGCGTATAAACAAGGCTATATTTGTCAAAAATGGAAATTTCTCAAAATTTCAAGGGACCATAACATTCACAAATTTCATCCAAACTCCAATTCTTTGACTTCATTGAATTTGTCAAGTTCTGAGCTTCAAAACAAGTACCCACATGCTCATGTTCCTTTGAGTTTGAAATTTGGCATTTAAAGGCGCATAGGGGGTCCAAAAATCGAAAAATTTCAAAGTAGGTCATGATTACACTCATTTTGAAGCCAAAAACGTGCTAATTGCAAATACGTTAAAATTTTCGAAGTTGGACAAGAATTGACAGTGATACGATAGTTTCAAGTTTTAAAGCTAGCTTTAAGAACTTAACTTACTTTAACTTGCTTAATTTTTGCTCAAATTTGCTGATTTTTACAGAAAATTGTTTGTTTTGTTAAGAGCTTCAAAATGAGCCTAATAATGACCCTCTTCCCATGACTTTCATTTTTTCGGACCCCTATGCGCCTTTAAATGTCAATTTTCGAATTTAAAGTAACATAGTCGTGTATATACTTATTTTAAAGCGGAAAACATGACAATTCCAGAAATCTCTACCCCACTCAAATATTTGAAGAATGGACCAAGTTACGGGTCATTCAAATTGCGAATTTCCAGAATTTTCCCAAATCCTGTCATGTTTATACTCATTTTGAAGCTCTCTCACTTTCAAATTTCTTACCCTCATACAAATATTGCGTTGTATGACGTCTTCTAGAACGGCCTGCAGACGTGAATTGACTTCCGTTAGAATTTGAGACTGCTTCTTTTCACTGCCGGAAGTGGTGAACATGGCACCCATCAGAGCGTAAGCGCTACTTTTTCGGAATATGGGAACCTGGAAAACGGAAATTTTATTTTTTTAAAAGAATTTTTATTTTTGGAAAAGTCAGGTTTGATGTTTGGTGTGTTCACAGGGACCATGGTATCGAAAAAAGAAAAACAAGTCTGTCGTGCCTTCGGCGCGTTTACAGAGAACAATATTACAAAATTTAAACTTGTCTTGCTGAGAGCTTCAAAATGAGTACCCACACGCCTATGTTCCTTTAAATTCGAAAATTGACATTTAAAGGCGCATAGGTTCAAACTTGAAGGAGCATAGGCTTGTGGGTACTTATTTTGAAGCTATTAAGAAGACAAATTGATTTGTAGACATTTTGTCAAATTTGAAGCAAAACTTGAAGAGTTACTACGCTTTTGCGTCATATCGCTAAATTTTTGAACAATATTCAAACTACCGTAACTCTGTCAATTTTCGTTCAAGCTAAAAAACTTTGACAATTTTGCATTTGGCGCGTTTCGAGCTTTAAAATGAGTATAAACATGACTGTTTTTCTTTAAGTTGGAAAACATTTAAAGGCGCAAAGGGGGTCCCAATTTTCGAAAATGCTAAAAGTAGGTGATGGTTATACTCAATTTGAAGCTCAACTCCAAATTAGCACTTGTCTGAAAATGCATTGCATTCGAGCAAAAATGAAGGAAGTTATGCCGTTTTTAGTCCATATAGCTAGCTTAGAAACTTAAAACTACCGTATCTTGACTCATTCTGCTCCAAATCAGAAAAACTAAAAAGATTTGAGTTTTACGCGTTTTGAGCTTCAAAATGAATATAATCACGGACTACTCACTTTTTAGAATTTCAAAATTTCGGACCCCTATGCGCCTTTAAACCCGACATTTCAAATTTAAAGGAACATAGGCTTGTGGGTACTCATTTTGAAGCTCTCAACCTCTCAAATTCAAATTTATCGCTCTTTTTCTCACAATCACAACATCTTCACAACTTACTTGAACAAATTCGCAACTTGCGAAAAGCTAAAAAAATATTGTTCTTCTTTTGAAAGTGTTTTTTTTCAAAAATTCAAAATCTTACCCTTTCCATGGATTCTTCAGAAGGCATCAGAAGCGATGCTTCTTCTCGGAGAGCGTAGTGTTGGATGATTCTGAAAAAATCACAACATTTGAATTAAAAATTTTTTTTTTCAAATTTCTCACTTTGTTTTCTTCTGCAGCTCTTCCAGACACTGTCGGACGTGTTCCTCTAAAAATTCACATTTTTCAGTTCTTCTCGCCAGCTTTCGCTGCAGAACCACAATTTTGTCAATCATGATTTGTTGCACATTTTTTTGATCTTCCTGCTTTTTCTGCTCATCGCCAGCTGTGGAATTTGTCTCCGATGTGCTCTGGAAACCAGTTTTATGTAAAAGTTAATAGCAAATTCAAATTCGCTATAAATAGAGCTTCGAAATAAGTATAAACATGCCCTTAGTTTAAGCCGAACTACAAAAACTACAGTATCCTTGAAGGTGAAAATCTAAAAACTACCGTAACTCAGTTGGTTTTAGTGCAAAATCAATTTCTTTTTCATAGATTTAAGTTAGCTATGTTTAGAGATTCAAAACGAGCCTAAACACGACTAGGCTCCGCCCATTTCGATTTTTCACTTCAAAGGCGCATGGGGGGGTCCGAATTTTGAAAATCCAGGAAAGTAGGTCATGGTTATACTTGTTTTGAAGCTCGATACGCGTAAAATCCAAATCTTCTTGATTTTTGTAGTTTAGAGAAAAATGAGTCGAGATACGGTAGTTTGAAGTATTCAAGCTAGCTTTAGGAACTAAAGCCGTCCTAACTTGCTTAGTTTTTTCTCAAATTTGATAATTCAAACGAATTCCGAATTGACACTTCAAGCGCTTCAAAATGAGTATAAACATGCCCTAATTTTTTCAACTTTGATAATTTGATAATTTTTGACCCCTTATGCGCCTTTAAATGTAAATTTTCGAACTTAAAGGCACATAGTCGTGTTTATACTCGTTTTGAAGCTCTAAACGCGTAAAGTTCAAATCTTTATGGTTTTCGCGGTTTGGAGTGAATTGAGTCGAGATACGGTAGTTTTAAGTTTTTAAGCTAGCTACTGAAAACCTTGATAACCTTCTTAGTTTTTGCTCAAACTTGATAATTTGAATGAATTCCGATTTGACACATTAAGCGCTTCAAAATGAGTATATACACGACCTACTTTTGAAAATTTCGATTTTTGGTCATCCCATGTGGGGGTTCATGCGCCTTTAAAGTCGAAATTTTAAAGTTAAAGGAACATAGGCGTGTTTATACTCATTTTGAAGCATTTTTCACGCTGATTTAATTTTTCTACTTACCGTAACCCGATCAATACTCGTTATGGAACTATTCCGAGATCTAGAAGACATAGATGGATCTGAAGACGCTGGTACTCCTAATCCGGCATGTTCTCCTCCACTTCCATTCGATTTTTTGTTGCCAGAAATTTCAGATTTCAAATCTTTCAGCGTTGCATTCGTCTTCTTTTTGTACGCGGAAAAATTGTTCCGCTCCTCGGCCAGTTTTGACTCCATTTCTTCCACTGAAAATTTAGAAATTTTATGTTTTTTGGTTTTTGGAGGGATTTTTCTGAGAATTGGGTGTTATATTCAATTTCAGCGTTGAAAGAGCTTCAAAATGAGTATAAACACGGCTATGTTTGAAAAGATTTGAAAATTTCAGTTTTCGTGACGGGACCCACAAAAATTTGAAAAATTTCAAATTCAAGCTATTCTAGGCTTGTTTATACTTATTTTAAAGCATTTTTCACAAGGAATTCAAATTCAGCAACCAATTTCACTGAAAATGAGCAATACAAATTTTCAGAAGACTCAAAACTCACATTTTCTGGAACATTCTTCATATTTTTCCTGATAAAATTTGTCTTCAAGTGTCTCAAATGTCACTGGTTTTGATGAAACTTCTGATTTCAGATTTTCCAATTCTTCTAGAAGTTTTTGATTTTTCTGCTCCAATGATTTGCAGGTTTCGTAGCTTTCTGCGAGTTCCGACGTCAATTTTTCGATATCGTTGTGTAGAGATTTTGTCTGAAAAAGGTAAATTTTAAAGTTTCAGACTATAATGGTGAAGTTGGGAATTCAATTTCCTTTAATTTGATACCCATTTTGGCCATATTCCAAAAAATTGAAAATTTTGAAACTTAACGTCTTCTGATTTCAGAAGATGTTAGTTTCTGATAAAATTTGTTGCGTTAGTTAGATTTGGCATGAAATTTTCGAAATTTTGATACCCATATTGCCCATATTCCAAGAAATAGAAAACTCTGAATCCTGAAGACGTCAAACTTCAGAATCCACCAAAATTGTGGAATATAGGCAATATGGGTATCAAAAATTTGGAAATTTTAGACCAAACCCTTTGAACGCAGTAGTTTTTGATTCGGAACAAGATTTTCTTTTCATATTTTTGAAAAGTTGGAAAACTGAACGTCTTCTGAATTCAGAAAGTGGCGGTTTCTGTACAAATTCACTACGTTAGTTAGGCTCTGCTTGAAATTTCCAAAGTTTTGATACCCATATTGCCTATACTCCAAGAAGTTTGGAATTCTGAATCCAGAAGACGTCGGGTTTCAGAATTCCCGAATTTCGAGGGATGTGGGCAATATGGGTATCAAAATTTCGGAAATTTTAAGTTAAATTCATTGGACGCAATAGATTTTCTTAAAACTCACAATTTCCTCTCGATCTCGAAGTTTTCTCTGCAATTCCATATTCCTTTCAGTCAATTCTTGTGTCAATTTCAGCATTTTCTCCACTTGTTCTCTCATTTCAGCTGCTTCCAATTCTGCTTGTTCCTTATCTTCCTCAGCAGTTATCTTCTCTTTCTGCGTTTCTTCTATCTGCTGGCTGGAACTTTCCACAAAACTTTCAACTCCTTTTAGCCTCTCAATTTGTTCTTCACATAACTTTCTTCGGTCTTCTTCTAGGCTTAGAGTGTCCTGGAAATTTCATTTTCAGATTTTTAACCTCTTCAGAATTTAGAGTTTCAGTTTCTTTTTAGGAATTTAGACGAAAACTGTTGCGTTAGATGAATTTGGCTTGAAATTTCAAAAATTTTGACACCCATATTGTGCATATTACAAGAAATTCAGAAATTCTGAATTCCTGACGTCTTCTGGATTCAGAATCTCGGAACTTCCTGAATATGGTCAATATGGGTATCAAAATTTCCGAAATTTGATGAAAATCTTAGCTAACGTCGTGAATTTTTACTGAAAATTGAAGAATACTGTATTCAGAAGACGTCAATTTTTCAACATCCTCCGAAAACCAAAAAATCATATTTCGGATCAAAAAAGTGTTTCGTTAAACTTATTTAGCTCAAAATTTCAGAGAGTTCGATACCCATATTGCCTATATATTAGGAGAAACTTTGGGATTCTGAATTCTTGACGCCTTCAAGATTCAGAATACTAACATTTTTTGGAATATAGGCAATATGGGTATCGAAATGTCGGGAATTTCAAACCGAATTCATCTAACGTCATGAATTTTTACTGAAAATCGAGGAATCCAGTATTCAGAATACGTCAAATTCAGAATTTCAGTTTTTTTTGGAATATGGGCAATATGGGTATCAAAATTTCGGAAATTTCATGAAAAATTCAACTAACGGAATGATTTACCTGCAAAATATCGATTTTCGACAATAAATCTGTATTTTCTCTAGAAGCTTCTTCAAATTTATTGGCCAAATCCAATTGCGACGTTTTCAACCGCTCCAAATTCGAATCTGACTCTTGAAGTCGTCTCTCCAAATCCGCCGTACTGGTTTGCAGTTTAGTTTCATACTGCTGAAAACTCAAATTTTGAATTTCTCGCGTCAAGAGCTTCAAAATGAGTATAAGCATGCCTAGGCTCCGCCCACTTGGGGTCTCACCACGAAAACTAATGTAATCCTAAAAACTAACCTGTATTATGTGCTTATCATCTTTTGCATTGATCAATTGCTTTCTGAGAACATCACATTGTTGTTTGGATTCGGTTAGGCTATTAGATAGCGTCTGAAATTTTTAAAAAAGGCGTTTTTTTGAAGAAATCGAGGTTAACTCAAAAATCTAGAACGTGAACTAGATTTGTCATGAAATTTCCGAAATTTTGATACCCATATTGCCCATATTCCTCAAAATTATGTATTCTGAATTTCCGACGTCTTCAGGATTCAAACTCCTTAATTTCTTGGAATATAGGCAATATGGGTATCAAATTTTCGGAAATTTCATGCCAAATCTAACTGACGTCACAAAAAATTTCGAAAATGAAGTAATTCTGAATTCAGAAGACGTTACATTTTTTCGAAAATTTTCCGAACGTTAAATGCATTTGGCTGGAAATTTTCAAAATTTTGATACCCATATTGCCCATATTCTAAAAATTTCGTTGGATTCTGAAATCTAACGTTTTCAGGATTCAGAATTTCAAGTTTTTTGGAATATATTCATTATGGGTCAGAAGAGAATCTATTTTATTGGAATATGAGGGAAAATAAACTAAAAAATTGAGAAAAAAACTGTTGCGTTAGATGAACTCGGCTTGAAATTTGTGAAATTTTGATAACCATATTGCCCATACTCCCAGAAATCAGGTATTCAGAATCCAGAAGACGTTGAAATATTCAGAACTTCAAAATTTCATGGAATATGGGCAATATGGGTATCAAAATTTCGGGAATTTTGTGAGAAATTCAACTAACGCAACAGTTTTTGATGAAAATGAAGTTTGAAGTGAAAAAAGCTCTCACCTCAACCCGTTTCTCTGCAATTTTCATGCGATTCTCGAAATCAAACTTTTCATGTTTGACTTTTTCAATTTCCACATTCAAATTCTGCACAGTTTTCTCCAAATTGCTCAGATTCTCCTGACTTTGAGCTTTTTTCGTTGTTTCTAGCTCATCTTTCAACGCCTTCAAATGAGAATCCTTGATTTTCAGCTCATCCCGTAATTTCATCATTTCTCCTTCCCTCATTGCGTACTTCACCACTGCTTCGTTTTTTTCCTTATCACATTGCTCAGCTTTCTTTGTTGCCTGGAATAATTTGTGATGATTTGATATGCATATTGCCTATAAGTCAGGTTCTGACGTCTTCTGAATCCATATTGGCGACGTTAGTTGAATTTGCCACCAAATTTCCAAAATTTTGATACCCATATTGCCTATGTTTCAAAATTTTGATATATTCTGAATCCTTGACGTCTTCTGGATTCAGATTCTCAAAATTATCGTAATATGGGCAATATGGATATCAAAATTGCGGAAATTCCATGAGAAAATCAACTAACGTGCGGGCTTTTGGTGAATTTCGGATTTCGAAGCTTTTTTGGGTGTCTTTTTGTTTTTTTTCTAGATTTTTGAAACTGTCCAAACTACAATCGAGATATGAAAGAAATCCACAGCGCCAGTTAGATTTCACTTGAAATTTACGAAATTTTGATACCCATATCGCCCATAGTTCCCAATTTTCGGAAATTCTGAATTTTCGACGTCTTCAGGATTCTGAATTCCAAACGTCTTGGAATATGGGCAATATGGGTATCAAAATGCCCCAAATTTCAAGCCAAATTCATCTAACGCAACAGTTTCCTCTGAAAATCAACCCACTTGCTGCAATTCTTTGCTATATTTTTGGGACATTTCTTTCGTCGTCACATTTAAATGCATTTCTTGGGCCACCGATTTGTCCATATTCGATTTCATCTGAATTTCGAGCTCTCGAATCCGTCGACTCTGCATTTCCAGCTCTTTTTTGTGCTGGTTTTGGACATTTCTGGAAGAAAAAAATGTTTCAAAAAAAATTATCAAAAAAATTTTTCTCACTTCAGCAGTTCTTCATTCAAATCCCTCTCCCTCATCGTTCGCAACAACTTCTCTCGATATTCAGCATTTTGGGTTTCAAGTCTGAAAAATTCAAAATTTTGAAAAATTTTCTCATTGGAGCACACTTACCTCTCCATTTCCTTCTCCTGAACTAATGTATTGCATTTCGAGTAGAGCGAATTTTCTACAGTAGTCGAATTCGAATTTTCCACATTTTCCGATTCTTGAACTTCTGGAGACGCCACACGGACCGGCGTGCCGTACGTGGAATTTGTCTGAAAATTCAGATTTTAAAAACCTTTAAAAATAGACTTACCGGAGTCTGCTCACAGGAGCCGTTGGCCACGTCTTCTTCCATAGTTAGACGATTTTCAGATTTTCCGAAAAAATCTGAGATTTGAAATTTGAAGGTTTTGCGTTAGTTAGATTTCTCGCAAAATTTGCGTTAATTTGATACCCATATTGCCCATATTCCGCAAATTCGAGGAATTCTGAAGACGTGACGTCTTCTGGATTCAGAATATCAAAAGTTTCCAAATATGGGCAATATGGCTATCAAAATGTCCCAAATTTTAAGCTAAATTCATCTAACAACAAAGTTTTTTTCTAGAAATAAGGTATTCTGAATTCTGAAGACGTTGGAATTCAGAATTTCGGATTTTTTCGAATATGGGCAATATGGGTAGCAAATTTTTGGAAATTTAGAGAGAAATTCAACTAACGAAGAGAAATGTTCAGAAAATAGACGAATCTTGAATTCAGAAGATGTCAAAATTTCGACATCTTCGAGAACGCGGAAAACAGTGTTTCTGGTCAAAAACACTGACGTTATATTGATTTTTCTTGAAATTTCCAAAATTTTGATACCCATATTGCCCATAATCCAAAATTTCAAGGAATTCGGAAGATGTGACGTCTTTTGGATTCAGAATATCACAACTTTCCAAATATGGGCGATATGGGTATCAAAATGTCGGAAATTTCAAGTCAAATTCATCTAACGAAACAGTTTTTGTTGAAAATCAACAAACTAAAATTGATAAATTCCGAATTTTCAGAAATTTTCGAAAAAAATTGAATTTCAGCAGTTTTTTTCAAAAAAGCTTAAAAAGGAACAAAAATCCATACCAAAAGGAGCTGTGCCCGTTAGACCCGACGGAGCATGTGCTCCGATGACGTGCTCTTTTTATTTTTCTCCCTTTTTCTCTGCGTCTCCTCCTTCTTAACACACTATCGATTTTCTTTTGGAGGGGGGCAGCTCACACACTCATTTCCTTTTCAGTGCCTCCTCTCTCTCTCTGCGTCTCTCATTTTTGAATACTATTTCGCCTCTTATGCTGGGATGCAATAAAAGAGAGAAAAAGGGTATGTGCGCCTTTAAACCGCCTGGTGTAAATAATTAGTAAGAAAACCCTCATAAAAAAGAGCACTCTTCAAACCGTCAACTTTGAGCCCATATATCTCGATTCCTGTAAGAGATATCAAAAAGTGGTCGACTAACAAAATGTTTATCATAATATCAGTTACATTTTATCAATTGACCATTTTTTGATACCTACAACAGGTACCGAGATAAATGAGCTCAAATTTAAGAAGTCGGCAGGTGACCGCATAGCCGGGCAAGCGCCGACTTTTTAACTTTAAGTAGATATATCTCGGTTCCTTTTGGAGATATCAAAAAATGGTCAACTAATAAATTGTTATTGATATTATGATAAACACTTTATCAGTTGACCGCTTTTTGATATCTTTCACAGGATTTGAGATAAATGAGCTCAAAGATACAGTGAGGTCAATACGACCCCCCTAAGTTTTGGGCGCACAGACAAAACTAGTAGAGGTGTCAAAAAACGGTTAACGCCATTCGATTTACAATCAAAAATAACTTCTAGAAATAAAGTTTCATAATTTTAGCACTTTCCCTGAACATGTACCATCCAAAAAGGCCATTTGCAAGCGGTCAATATCTATACGACCACCTGGAAAATGAAAAATCTCAAGTATTTTAGAGAGCAAAAATGAACTTATTTTGGTTGGAAACTGCTAGAATAGTCCTAAAACAGCATATTTCGACAGTTTATACAAAAATTGATTCCTCTATTCAAATTTTAGAAAAAATTATTTTCAAACATTTTCATAATTTTTTTGGGTTTTATGGAATAAATCTCTAATAACTTGGCTCCTGGGTAAGATTTTGAGCTGAAATTTATAAGGAACAATTTTTGCAGTGGTCTGAATTATTGACTAACTGTTGTTAAGCTATTCTGAGCCGTTGTTTGTGATTGAAGCTGGACTGAAATTTGAAAAATTGACCTTGAAATTCGGTGATTCTGATTTTTGTAAAAACCTTGAACACTTGCAACATGATCATGATCACTCTTAGAATTTTCCTTATAAATTTTCCTCATAATATCAATAACAATTTATTAGTTAATTATTTTTTGATATCTCCAAAAGGAACCGAGATATATCTACTTAAAGTTAAAAAGTCGGCGCTTGCCCGGCTATGCGGTCACCTGCCGACTTCTCAAATTTAGGCTCATTTATCTCGGTACCTGTTGTAGGTATCAAAAAGTCGTCAATTGATAAAATGTAACTGATATTATGATAAACATTTTGTTAGTCGACCACTTTTTGATATCTCTTACAGGAATCGAGATATATGGGCTCAAAGTTGACGGTTTGAAGAGTGCTCTTTTTTATGAGGTTTTTCTAAAATCATGAAACTTCGTCTCTAGAAGTTATTTTTGATTCTGAATCGAATGGCGTTGACTGTTTTTTGATACCTCTACTAGTTTTGTCTGTGCGCCCAAAACTTAGGGGGGTCGTATAGATATTGACCGCACTGTAAAAGGCAGGTAGCCTTCTATTAGAGTGTTAGAAGCTTCCGGTAAAATGTTTCAGGATTTAGCTATCTTTCCAGATTTTTGAGAAGACTAAAGCCGTCTAAACTCCAACAAACTTATGAAGACGTCAACCCCGGATCAAGATATGCTCATGGACCGCTATACAGCCGGTTTTGGGCAACTTCCGATTCATTTTGAAGGGTTTTTCGCCAATTTCAAATATCGTTAATTTTTTTTTTGGAAACTGAAAAAATGAACCGAGTTAGGACTAAATTTGCTTTTTAGATTATTGGTTCTAGAGAAGACTTATGATAATTTGTAGATTTTTTAGTAAAGTACAGACCAGCAGCTGATTTTGTTTCCTAATATTAGAAGTTTCGTGGCACCTGCTTTCTCCGAATTTCTGAAAAACTTGACAACTGATGCAATTTGAATGGTGGCAAAAAGAAAATCAGATCGAAACTCTAGAATTTCAGAAAATTCGAAAAAAAGCCCAAAATTTTAATTTTATCAAAAATGGAATTTCAACTAGAATTATCTAAAAATGGCTTCACCAATGCAATCGGAGGAAAAACAACCCAATATTTTTGCATATTTTTGGTTTTTGGTCAATTTTCAATATTTCCATTTTATCGAAAATTCTATAGAGCGAATCTCAAAAAAGATAAAAAGGTTTGAATAGTTCTTAAAAATAAAGTTTTGCATTATTTTAAAGCCCTTAAAATTCCTTACAAAAATGATATATTTTTCATTTTTCTAGCTAAGTTTTGAACCAAGTTATGCGCCTTTAAACATTGGACATGGCGCATCGTCCAACTTTCAAGACGTTTAAAGGCGCATAACTTGGTTCAAAATTGAGCAAATGAAATGAAAAATACATCAGATTGTAGAAAATTTCATAAGCATCAAAATGATAAAAAATTTGTTTTTTATTGATTTTGTGAAATTCTAAAATTTGGAAAATTTTGCAAAATTTTTTCCTTTCCTAAACAACATTATTTCCAACTTTTCAAATAATGTAATCCAGATTCCTAATAATCATTTTAAATAGTATTAAAGCGCATCAAATTTCCTACAAAACGGTAGAATTTTCCTTTTTCTAGCTAACATTTGAACCAAGTTATGCGCCTTTAAACATCCGACATGGTGCATCGTCCCACCTCCTGGTTGTTTAAAGGCGCATAACTTTGTTCAAAATTGGGCTAGAAGCCTGTAATTTATATCATTTTGTAGGAAGTTTAAACAGTTTTGAAGCGATATTAAACTTCAAGATTTTCAAAAATATTTAGATCATGTTATGCGCCTTTAAACTTCCAGAAAATGAGACGATGCACAACGTCGGATGTTTAAAGGCGCATAACTTGGTTTAAAATTGAGTAAAATAACTGAAAAATATATGGAATTGTAGCAAATTTTACGAGCTTTAAAATGATATTTATTACAAAAATTTCCAGAAAAATGTTTGTTTTTAGAATCCAGCCCTTCCAATTTTCAGTCATTTTTACAAAGTTCTCCGGAATTTTTATATATTTTATGTAATAATTTCTATATGTATTCTGCCTTCAAACATGATACAAATCGATTTCGATTCGATTGAAAAAAATGCATCGAATGGTCTGAAAATGTCTGAAAATCAGGAACCATTAGGATCATCTTTCACTATTAATCTAATTCGGATTTCCGCCGTTCCATTTGTCATTTTTATCCATTCTTATCACTTTATCCTTATCTTATCAGCCATAAAATTGATTATCGAACATTTTTCAACTGGTTATCAGGGATTTTTGGATCGAAAATCCATTTTCCTAATATATTCTTTGAATACTATTAAATTATTTTTAAGGGAATTTAATTATCGTTATTTGTATTTTTTGTATTTCGACGGATTGGTCTGTGTAGCTCTGAGTACCTTATCAATTATCGTTTTATCAATTAGACACAATTTTGACACCTCTAGAAAGATTGTACTGTGGCAAGTGTATTAACAAGCCAGTTTAAAAATGTATGTTAACATTTGGGAAGAAAAAATTATTTAAAGGTGGGGGGACATGAAAAAAAAAATAATGTTCTCGAAATTCCGTTCAAAGATGCCCCTCGAGGAGTTGAACTTGTCGAGGGCGATGATTGAGGGTGCGGCGCCGCTACCGACTGAGCCACGCGGGCAAAGAGAAAGCGCACGCCCGATTGCATACATAAAGGCGAGGACGACAGCTGTACGCAGAGTGACATTAAGCGTTGTACACCGCTACGGTAGAATGCATACTCTAACTACAAAAAAATTACGAAAAATCTCCTGTCCCCCCACCTTTAACACATTTTAAAGATTAATTTTTCCAGATGGTAATTTTATCAGTTATAATTAACCAACTTTTGTATAAACGCTCAAATTTATCGGTTGGTCCTGTTGAGCGCGATCGCAATGTTTGATTTCTTTCAGGCAAGCTTCACTGTTGAAATATTAGATATATCTATGATTCCTGTTATTCTACAAATCAGCTACGCGGTTTTTAAATATAAAAAATTTTGGAGAAAAGACAACAACAATCGAGTTCAGAGGATTTGAATTTGTGAGAAAATTATTGATAAATTGATATCCATATTGCCTATATTCCAGACGTTTTGGGAATTCTGAATTCCCAACGTCTTCAGGATTCTGAATCTCAAAAGTTGCTAAATGCGTGAAATTTCGAATGCTTATCACTATTGGAAGATATAGAAATGCAGATGAAATGACAATTCATTCAGGGTGATGTAGTAAATCTGAAAATAGTTTTTAGAATATGAACAATCCACGACGTTAGTTGAAATCTACATCAAATTTCCGAACTTTTGATACCCATATTGCCCATGTTTCAAAATGCTCATCGATTCTGAAGTCCTGACGTCATCTGGATTCAGGATCCCAAAACTTTCGGAATATAGGCGATATGGGTATCAAAATGTCGGATATTTCAAGCCGAATTCATCTAACGCTGCAGTTTTTATTGAAAATGAAATTTTGAATCACTCTTTTTGAGATGAGAATCCAGAAAACTTACAAAATAAGCATTTTCGCCAAGATGACCGGGAACAAACAGTTCTCGAAGAATAAAAATGAAAATCAAATGCATAAGAAGCATATCCAATCCAAAAGGCTTTTTTAATAGTACCTGACGAAAAATTTAAAATTGCCTATTTCCAAAAAAAAATATTATGACTTCTTCTGAATTCAGATTTCTGAATTTGAATTCAGAAAATGGAAAATTCTATGACGTTAGTTGAAATCTGCTTCAAACTTCCGAAATTTTGATACCCATATCGCCTATATTTCAAAATGCTCATCGATTCTGAATTCCTGACGTCATCTGGATTCAGCATCCCAAAACTTTCGGAATATGGGCAATATGGGTATCAAAATGTCGGATATTTTAAGCCGAATTCATCTAACGCTGCAGATTTTGATGAAAATGAAGGTTTGAATAGTTTTCAGCTCAACTTTTTCCATTTGAGCTACGCGGTCGCGTTTTTCAGCTGCTGCTATTAGTACCCAAAAATACGTATGGAAATTCTGAGAAATTTTATTTCAGCTGCTTTGCCAAAAAGGAAATAAATAGAAATTTTTTGGGAATAAAAATGTTTTAATCCTAAAAAATGTTCGATGTCCTTTGCGAGCCAACGGTTTATAAAGGCGAAGAATATTATGATGTTAGATGTACTTTGGTGAAAAAATATCCGTTTTTTGTGTTAGCAATATTGATTTTTTTATTGATTAACCTCCCTATTTATTTGATTTATGTTCGTGTGTATCGATCAAATGTCATCCGGGATAAAGATATTCCAATTTTTGGATTTGTTAATAATTTCTATAATATGCTCAAATTTACCTATACATTGATTTATACATTTATATTAATGGAAATTCTTCAATTTGTGATTGCCCATAGAGTTCCGCAATTTCCAATTTTTTCGGACATCATCCCATATATTATCTGTCATATAGTTCTTCCGGCACTTGGAAACACAAATCATATAATGTTGACACTTTTGGCAATTCAAAGATTCTTTTTATACTTTTTTCCGAATTCCGAAAAGTACTTGAATTTTTCATCAGGTACATTTTTATCAAAAACTGCTGCGTTAGATGAATTTGACCTAAAATTTCCGACATTTTGATACCCATATTGCCCATATTCCAAAACTTTTGAGATTCAGAATCCAGAAGACGTCAGTAATTCAGAATCCAAGAAAATATTGGAATATAGGCAATATGGGTATCAAATCAAAGCAAAATTTGCAGAGAATCTAACGAACGCTCTAAATTTCCGTTTTGTGGATGAATGACAGTTTGAGGATTCAAGAAAACAAAAAAAAAACATTTCTGAAAATTTCGAAAGCCCATTTTTATCAAAAAACTGCTGCGTTAGATGAAACTGGCTTAAAATTTCCAAAATTTTGATACCCATCATGGCCATATTCGAGAAGTTTTGGGATTCTGAATTCAGAAGACGTCAGGAATCCGGAATCTCTCAAAATTTAGAAACATGGGCAATATGGGTATCAAAATTTCGAAAATTTGATGTAGATTCTAACTAACGTCGTGGATTTTTCATTTTCCTAAAGATGAATTCAGAATACGTCAAAAAAAATTCGAATTTAGGCAAATTTAAACATTTCATCAGGTACAATTAAAAAAGTCTTTTGGATTGGATACGCTTCTTATGCTTTTGACTTCGTTTTTATTCTTCGAGAACTGTTTTTTCCCGGTCATCTTGGCGAAAACGGAAATTCGGGCGAAAAAGCGTATCTTGTGAGTTTCGGAATTTAAAAAAGTGATTCAAATTTCCATTTTCATCAAAAACTGTTGCGTTAGATGAAATTCGCTTGAAATTTCCAACATTTTGATACCCATATTGCCCACATTCGAGAAATTTTGAGATTCTGAATTCCGGACGTCTTCTGGATTCAGAATCTCAAAAATTTTGGGGATATGAGCAATATGGGTATCAAAAAATTGGAAATTTCGAGCCAAATTCATCTAACGTAACTGTTTTCGATGAAAATGAAGATTCTGAATAAGCTTAAACCATTTTTCAGATTTACTACATCACCCTGTTAGATGAATTCGGCTTGAAATATTCGACATAGCGTTAGATGAATTCGGCTTAAAATATCCGACATTTTGATACCCATATCGCCTATATTCCGAAAGTTTTGGGATCCTGAATCCAGATGACGTTAGGACTTCAGAATCGATGAGCATTTTGAAACATGGGCAATATGGGTATCAAATGTTCGGAAATTTGATGTAGATTTCAACTAACGTCGTGGATTGTTCATATTCTAAAAACTATTTTCAGATTTACTACATCACCCTGAATGCAATTGTCATTTCATCTGCATTTCTATATCTTCCAATAGTGATAAGCATCCGAAAATTCACGCATTTAGCATCAGCCAAACTGAATAATCCACAACGTTTCGTTCTCTGGCAGCTGGTTGTTGTGGCCGCCGAAAAAACTGTGCGTTAGTCGGTCCCTTGCGGGCCCTGCCATAGTCTCTTTCAGGATTAATATTTTTGGACCAACTAAATCAGACATAATATTATGTTTTTCGTTGAAGAGCGGAGAAAAAGGACGCGCGAGATTAAAGGCGCACACACTTTCCAGGCGCCGCGGGTCTCGAAGCGATCATGCCCGAACGGGCATGAAACTCGAATTTCAAAATCATTCTACGTGTTTTAACAAGGTCGTGTGTGTTTTTTGTCGATTTTTTTGGATTTTTTTGAATTTTTCTGTTGAATTCGTGTAGAAAACGGTCATTTTGGCTGTTTTCAATTGTCGTATTTATCTTCGTAGCTAAAATATTGTTCAGGAATGGCGGAATCTGTCGATAAAGATGCTCTGAAGCAATTCGGTGAAGAAATTTTAGGCAAGATGGCAGAGATGGTGAAGGAAATCGGAGCTGAAAAGAAGAAAAAGGAGAGAGAGGCAGAGGATGAGAAGCCACCGAAAGTTTCGTCGAAAGGCATTCAGAAGAACTTGGATTTCAATTTCAAAATCCGAAATATTTTGACGAAGGCGACAGCCAACGGAGAGTTGGAGGAGGCAGTTAAGGAAGTTCAAAACTTACTGAAGGCAAGAAACGGAGAGCTGCTGCTTCTGGATTCCGATCCAAGTCTTCTGCAGACGAAGGATAAGTTAGACGCCTTGAAGGCCATCGCTGGAGTCGATTCTGAAAGCTCGACGACGCAATCTGACATGACTTTAATCCTTCTCCTCTTTAATCTTGCCGGCAATAACGGAAACAGAAGCGGAGGATTCCACGGAGAAAGCAAAAGACGTAGGGCAGAGCCGTACGCGCAGAGACAACCGTGGTTTCGACATGAGAGCACTTTCCGAGGCCAGGGAAGTGCTCGGCAATACGGAGGCCAGGGATTCGGTGGAGGCAGAGGTGGAAAAGGAGGAGTCAAGTGCTTCAAGTGCTCCCAGTATGGTCACTATGCCACAGAATGTGAACAAAGAAGGTATGAGTTTTCCGAACAGACTGTCAGCAGCTATTGATTTTTGGGAGAAAATCTGTGACGTAGAATGGATACTAAGTGTGATTGAAGATGGTTTTAAGATTCAATTAAACTCAAATGTAGTGCTACCAGAGCCTCAGGGCTTGAGACCGTCAGTGATACGGCACAAAGAATTTTTGGTTGCAGAAATTGAGAGGCTGGAGGCAGAGGGCGTTTTGACGCGATCGGACCACCAACCACGATGTGTGTCTCCGCTGCATGTTGTAGAGCAAGGTAAGAAAAAGAGAATGATTCTCGATTTGAGTGAGTCGAACGAGAGCCTCGTTCCTCCTCGGTTTAAGCTAGAAAACCTCAAGACTGCCTGGCTATTTCTAGAAGACGCGCGCTATGCGGCCACATTTGATTTTAAATCAGGCTATCATCATATTAAAATACACAAAGAATCTCAAGATCTTTTGAGCTTTACGCTGACAAATCCCCCTACTGCTCCTTATTTTTCGTTTAGAGGTTTGCCTTTCGGGTTGTCGACAGCTCCTTGGCTGTTTACTAAAATCTTCAAAGTTTTAGTTCTAAAATGGCGGGCAGAGGGGATAAAAATCTTTCTATATCTGGATGATGGATTAATTGTGGGCAAGACGGAGAGAGAGGTCGCGAGGGCAGTGAAAAAGGTGAGAGAGGATTTGAACAGTGCCGGAGTTTGTGTGGCAGAAGAGAAGTCGTTCTGGGTGCCAGACGCAAAGTTTACGTGGCTCGGCTATGAGTGCGACCTGGTCGCGAGAGAGGTTCGTGGAACCGAGAAGAGAATGGCCAAGTGGCAGGTTGCTCTTGAGGAGCTGAGGAGGAGCGTGGCTCCAACGGTCCTGGACCGTATGAAGTTTTTGGGATGCCTGGCATCATTTGAGCTTGTTGCAGGAGACGTTGGTGTTGGCAGAGCACGGTCGATCATGCAGACGGTTGGAGAGAGTCAGAGGAAGAAGAGTGAGCCGGCAACAGTGAAGAAGAAGAAAACTCCAGATATCCCGAGTTCGGAACGTCTGGTGTCAACGTCTTCGACCACATCGAGAGGGCAGAGAGGATGGGATGTGCTTGGTGGGTGCCACCTCCAGTGCTGATACCGCACTTGTTGAAAATTGGTAGAAAAAGAAGGCTGAGGGGCGTTTTAGTAGCTCCATTGTGGCGGAGTCACGCGTCATATCAGGCCCTTGTTGATCATTCGGGAAGATTCATTAGAGCTATTAAAGATTACATTATTTATGAGAAGAATGACAACATTTTTATTCCGGGTGAAGGCTCCAAACATTGTGAAGCCACAAATTTTAAATACTGTAGATCTGAGTTCATCTTAGCGCTAGTTGACTTCTCTCGATAGGCCCCAGGCTTTGTACATTTTTCTACCTTATTATTACCACGTTAAACCTAAATTTAATAAACATGTGACATAAAATTCCTTTTTCGTAGTGATGAAACAGAAAAACATATTCTCTTGTAACGTAGAGGAAAGAGAATAGAACTTAATGAGCACTACAAAATGATACTATTTGAAAAATTGTATCTTATCTAGGAACCAAGTTACAAGCCATAAAGCTGCTGGCTCATTTGGTCTGTAACTAAAATTATAGACAAGATATAATTTTTCAAATTCTATCATTTTGTAGTGCTCACGCCCATTTTCCAGTATGATAAAAAGAAGAATAATTTTTTTTTCCAGATTTGGCTACCATTTTATTTTGGATACATTGATTACGTTCTCAATGATTGGCCTCTTCTTGATGTAAGTTCCGAAAATTGAACCGTTTTGTTCAATAGAGTGCAAAATTGTTGAAAAACTTTTTTTTTTTTTTGGATTTTTCAAAAACTACAGTAATCCCAAAACTTTAATTTCAGAAAATATTCGTATGTAAGGCCATCGATAGTGCTTTCATGATGGTTGTTGTAAATTGACGTATCTTGGATGCAATCGACGGAATTTACAAACTATATTGGCGGCTTTTGGACCGAAAAATATTTTGAAGAAGCTGAAATTTTGGAACCATCGATCCGGACAAGTCCATCCTCAAGTTCCAGCAGTAGTCGCTCAAATTTATACCACTAATGCCTGATCAATAAAGATTTTTTCAACTCCCAAAATATTAATGCCCCATATTTCCTTAAAATATGCTCATGTTACTTTGAAACTTATTTATTCATATTTACCATGTTTAGAGCTTCAAAATGAGTATAAACACGACTATACTCCGTCTATTTTGAAATTTGACCTTAAAGGCGCATAGGGGGTCCAAAACTTCGAAATCTTCAAAAGTGGGTCATGTTTATACTCATTGTGAAGCTCTTGACTTCTCGATTTCACATATTTTCAAATGTTCAAAAACTAGCAAAAATGAACCAACTTATGACCAATTTTGTTGACAAGGGGAGAGTCAGAGCAACCAGGCACACTGCGTCTCTAACCAAAAAACTGAAATTTGAGAAATATAGACATGATTATACTCATTTTAAAGCCTTTGACTTGCAAAGTTCAAAAATAAAAATTTCATCATGACTAGGTGATTTTCAGCCAAGTTATAGTCATCTTTCTAAAATGTTGAAAAATTTCAAAAACAAGAAATTATCATAACTCAGCAATTTTCAAGATTTCAACGATTTAACCTGGATTGTTGAGTTTCTGCTATTAACAGCTTCAAAATGAGTATAATCACGACCTACTTTCCTCAAATTCCAAAAGTTTGGACCCCTATGCGCCTTTAAAGTCCGAAAAATCATAGTGGGCGGAGCCTAGTCGTGTTTATACTCATTTTGAAGCAGTTATCATAGGGAATTCGAAAATTCAATGTTTGGCTCATCTTCTGTGCTCTTTTCGCTCTTCTCACAGTTTTCGTCTCTTCTGTGACAACTAGAAAAATCAAAAAATCCACATTATTTTTGAAAAATTCAGAGCAATCATGAAATCGGTTCTAATCTACTTCCTATATGTTTTGATTGTCGATTCGGAAAATCCAATTTTCTCAAAATTAACATTTGAAGAGAATCAGCAACGACTTGAGCGGTGTGGACGCAAGAACTTGTAATTTTTATATTTTCAAAAAATTTACCGTATCTTGAGTTACAGTAACCATATAGATACGAAACAAATACCAATTGACTTGGCTTTTCAAGCTCTTTCAAATGAGTATAATCATGACTATATTTGACTTTTTTTTTGGATTACTGTAGTTTGACCCAAAAAATCTAAATTGCCGTATCTCGAGCTACAGTAATCCTATAAATACAAAACTAGTTCCAATCGGCTTTACTTGTCAAGAGCTTTCAAATGAGATACTCCTGACCATATTCGAAAATAATTCTGAATTACTGTAGTTTGACCTAAAGAATTTGAATTGTCATAGCTCGGGTAACTGTAATCCTGGAAACATGAAACAAATGCCATGCGATTTGGCTTGTCAGGAGCTTTCAAATTAATATACTCATGACTATATTTGAATGTTTCGTGGATTACTATAGTTTGACATATCTACTAAAAATACCGTATCTCCGGCTACAGTGATCCTAGAAATATGAAAACCAGTCGATTAGGCTTAATAAAGCCTTTAAAATGAGTATACTCATGACTATATTCAAAATTTTCATTGGATTACTGTAGTTAGATCCAAAAAGCCAAGTCTACCGTATCTCGTGTTACAGTAATCCTAGAAATATGAAACTAATACCGTTCGACGTGGCTTGTTTTCTGAGATGTCACAAACTTTGTAGTTCGATTGACTAAACAACAAAAAGAAAGAAAAAACAATGATATTTGGACATACTTTTTGGGTGTTCTAGTCTCAGACAGACACATTATTTTTGGACACAAACGTTCTAAGGATTTCGATTTCGACATGGCAAAATGTCGACGCAATGTGCCTCTTCTTTCTCCAGACCTTGGCTTCAGATTCTTTGTCGAATTTGTTGGATTTTCAGAAATATCTCAAATAAGAGATATTACTACGGAAATTGCGAAGAGACGGACGGAATCATTATTGTAGAGTTGGAGGAAAAAGTTGTCTTTCCGGAAGCTTGTTTCCCAGGTAAGCACAGAAAAATAAAGAAAAAAAGTATTTGCCGCCAGCAGGGGTCGAACCTGCGACCTTGGGCTTATTAGACCCACGCTCTAACCGACTGAGCTATGGCGGCACATATTCCTTTCGGTCGGCAAGGCGTATAAGAAATCGCGTTGCTATCCTCTCCCGACTATTCAATTTATTTCCGGGACCCCGCTTCTCAATTTTTTTTTCTTCTTCTGCCTATTCCATCATCTACCAAACACAAACAATATCCATCTTTTCTCCGCCCGTTTCCACCGGCAATTCTTCATCCCTCTTTAGCCCCCATTTCCATCATTTCTTCTCCTTTTTTGCTGTGTTTGTCTTGATGACAAACGTTCGTCCCATTCATATTCCGTTTTTTTCGTTCGAGACTCGCTCCATGGAAATCCTCAGTCTCCGCCCTCTTTTTCGTTTCAAGAACAATTTGCGAAGAGTGCTTTCCTTTTCGTGCCTTTCCGATTTAGAATTTAGAAGGTTTCATGCATTCCGAATTAGATGAAAACCCTCTTTTCTTACCTTTGCATTTAGAAACAATTCCCAAAAATCTAGCTTCTCATAAAAAAGTTCTTTTTTTGCATTCCTGTCTGATTACTTTTCTCATGAATCTTTTCAAGGCTCCTCAAGCGCTATTTTGC